AGAGATCAAGTCTGGATGCACCTATTTGGTTCTGCACACCCACATGTTTTGACTGGTCTTACATGAACTGCAGTAAACCCAAGCAGCTCTGTGCATGTTCCATATTTCAGCTGTATTTGGATACCAATGTGCAGAGGACTGAGACAGCTGAAACAGCATCCTGTGTTCTTGTAAATCCACACTTGTGAGAGCCAAATGCATTCACTAAGTGCAAACCCCCATATGTGTGTGTGTGTGTGTGTGTGTGTGTGTTTCCTTAGTGAACCTTTAAGGAAATGCTATTTCCTTTAAAGGAAAAGGAAATGCTCTGAAGTTTATCAACCGTCTATGACTCAAAATTTCATAGAAGCGAAAAAAATAAAAAATAAATAAAATTCCTTCTGTGGTCTGAATCTGACTGTGGCATGGTGACACAATTCCCTGCATGTGGTCTGAATCTCACACCATGAAGTCAATAAAAAGAACAGACTGGCATGAAGGATAAAAGCACAGGATGAGGTGAAGGGGATTTTTTTTCTGCTTTTTTTTCCTCTGTTCTCATATCTCAGTTTCTCCCAGCACACACAGCCAGCTGGCTTAAGTAGCATTAATGGTATTTGGTTAGGACTTCCCCTTTGACCTATGGAACAAAAAAACAGTAGCAGGGAGCCGCTCAACAGGTCCCCTGTGAGGGACAATGGGAGTGAGGTTGGAGTTAATAACAGGAAACACAACGGCGTTTAGGGAGATGACATCAGTGCATTCAACAGATCGGTTACGCAGGTATTGTTGGTGTTGTTGCACTGAAGACGAATGTTTCACTTGCGTTTGTGCATCAGCTGCTGCACCGTTTCCCCACAGGAATGAATGACGTTTCACACTGAACGCCATGTCTCCTTGTATCCGTCAAACTCTCGGAAAAAGACATCAGCAAGCAGACCTGACAGATTTGACGTCTGACAGCAGAATCCTTCCTCCTTAATTTAAGACTCGTCTAATCCCCGGTTCAAAGCCGGGGCCGAGGAAGAGAAAAGAAAAGGTGGCACAGGCACAGGCAGGTTGTAAACAGGATGGAACAGCCTTCCGTTTTATTCTAAATTTGATATGTACAGGAAAAAAGTGGCTGTATACATTTCTTAATATATCATGTAAAAGTTTTCTGGAAAAAAAAACAAAAACAATTGCACATCAGCTTCCAATAGCTTCCATTTCTTTTTTTTTTCTTTTTTTTTTATACTTAAACACATCATGGTACAGCATGGTTGAAGGCAATGTCAAACAGGATACAAATACACTGATAACCGCTTGTAAGTGTTGGCTCTTGTGAATAAAATAAAATTAAAAAAAGGTTCAGGAAGGAGTACCCCAAAAAAAATGACACATTTTTTTTTTCATATGATATTAAAAATGTTAAAAAAAAAACACACTGTAGTTTGTGTGCTGTAGTGTCACTGACAAACAAATCACATCGTGTCCCTCTTTGTGTAAAATATTATGGTATTATCTCAGGCACTTATCGCTATCAGACCCCCGTAACTGGACAGCTACAACAGCAAAATCCATGACATTTAGAGCAAGGGGTCAAATACATCCTTCTCAAATGTGCTGGTCACTAGTGTTCACAGCAAGAAGTAGTGGCTGCTCAACCAAACACTTCTAATGAAAAACAATTCAGAGTGGACTTTTCTTTTTTTTTTTTTTTTCACCCTCACATCACACAGTTTGTGTCTTATTTGGTAACAGTTTTGTGGCATTGATGTAAACACACATACACTGGCGAGGGGCCTCAGTGTGTGTGTGTTGTTACACCCATGTACATCCATAATGCAGAAGGGAATTCTTAATTAGCTTAAAGCACTGTTGCTGTGCTGTGAACTTTCCTCGGCCTACGATACAGGTTTACAAACTGAAGTAATGCCATTAAAAATTCCTTTTTTTTTTTCCTTCTTCTTCTTCATCTTCTTCATATTGCCGTTCATCATCTATTACCTCTACCTAAGCCTGCATCTTTCCCAGCAAGGGCCTTCATTAACCAACAGGAGATAATGTATGTCACGCAGCTTTGCTCTGCATATGGAGAGTGAAGGGCAATTACGCACCCCGCCTGTTTGTTTTCCACAGCTTTATTTATTTATTCTTTTGCATTTCCCTTTTTGCTTAAAGTTCGACCTCGGCTCGGTCTCATTTGTTCGCTTTCGCAGGCAGATTAGTGATGTCAAAGACGGGCAGGTTCGGACCGGATTGGTCGCCACCTACTGCAACAATTATAGAGGTGGGCCGGTGGGCTGTGGCAGTGAGTTTTAAAACGTGTGTGATCAGCCCCCAAGGTCTCACTTTTTCCCAACCTACAACTACAGCGGCTGGTTTTACTGATTAGTTCCTCCCCTCTGGGTGGAAAAATTGCCAATCAGCAGCTGTAGAGTTTGACTGGAATGAAAATGAGAATACTCTCAGGTTATAATGACACATTCCACTGGGCTAACATGATTCATAAACAAGACCGCACGGGTTTAAAGAGTCGGTTTTTATCCAGATTACAAAAAAGAAAACATTTTTACTACCAGAACATCTAATCATGCAGATAGTTTTGTTTTCATTTAGTCAGGTTTTCAGATTTCTGTCTCCACCCTAATACAGTTGAGGTAAGGGGAGGTTATCATGACTTACCTTTTTGTCTTCCACTGCACCAACTGCTTTTATACAACCCTGCTCTGTTGGAGCATAAACTGAGAAGAACTGTATGTTCAGACTGAAAGCAGCAAGAGCACAAGAAATCACTCTGGCTGCCCTGAGAAGGGCGCTGTTGAAGTTTGTGGGCGCTTTGACGCAGATGACGTAGATGAAACGGACAGACAGCACAGTTTGTTCTGAATGCTTGGTCTTGCAAAGTGTAATTTCAGGGTCCGCAAAGGAAACAGGCATGTCAGCAAGGATCTTTGTGCCAACTGACCACAAGTAGTGTATAAATTAGCCACGTGAAATCTCTAACATTACTGATTCATTTGCATCAAGTTGTCAAGCAACACTGTGCAACACTTGCGTGCAATTATAGGCTACCCTTCGAACACCTACAATGTCGGACACCTTTGTCCATGCATCGTTTTTTTACCCTGTAAGCACACAGGGACGCACTGTAAAGGACGGGGAAACCCGCCACCGCAATTATTTATTTCTCCTCCATTGTGCTTGGGAACGAATGTTTGATGGGAAGTTTACACGGCTGTGTTCTCTAGTGTTCTGTTGCTTCTGTCTGGCTCACATAGAAAATGAATGACTTTTGGTCACTTTGAATTTCTTGCCGCTTTCGGTCTGAACATGGTTTGAATAAACTCATTGTCTAGTTAGCGAATGAGCTAACAAGCCTGCTAACTTTCAATTAGGCACCATGAATATGACTAGTGCTAGTGCACTGTCAGCAGTTTTCATACAAACTCAATCAATTCAAAGACAGATTTCTGCAGATTTTTCTCCTCCGCTGTATTAGGATGGCATCAGAAAACCTGGACAAATAAAATCAAAACTCTGCTTTTTGTAATTTCATTCAACCCATCCTTTAAAAGCCAGCAGCACTCTGTTCATCCATTGACTGCTGTGTTTTTTTGAAAGCAAGATGGCACCCCTACCTGCTCCCTATTTTCAAATCACTCTGGAGAAATATGTTGGCTAAATGCTTAAAAAGGTAAAAAAAAATAGAAAAAGCAATTATAGCAATCGAAAGCAATCAACTCCTGAGGACAATTTTGCCTTTTGTTAAAAAACAGGAGAAAAGCTGCAGCTAATCTCACACTGGGAGGCTCATTGTCTCTCTACCATCTTTATCCTCACTCTTTTTTATGCTTTCATTCCTGTCTTTATGTCAGAAGCCGGGCCCTCTGTCGGTGCCTCTGGTGGCAGCGTGCTTTGGCTCTGGCAGGCAGCAGGTGGCTTGTGATGAAAAATTCAGTGCACAGCCTGACTCGGGAGACAAGGAGGAGGAGGAGGAGGGTGGTGGTACTGGGTAGCAGGAGGAAGAGTAAAGGGAAGGGGAGGGCTGGAATGAGAGGAAGGCGGGAGAGAAGCGAGGAGGGGAGAGCAGAAAGGTAGAAGAAAGGCGCGTAATGAACAGAGAGATGACGAGAACAACGGGAGGAGGGATGGGAGCCAGAGCTCCAGACAGACAGGCAGGCAGGCCAGTGAGTCAAGCCCAGAGCAGTGCAAGGGGGGCCAGGCACAGGATCAGAGCTGTCGACCCTCTCTGCTTGGGTCTCCCTCACGGAGATAACACACCATATGAATCATTTATGAGGGGGGCTTTTTTTTTTATTAAACACACACACACACACACACACACACACACACACACACACACACACACACACACACACACACGCACACTGTGCCCTGTTTCTTTCATACACTTTGCCTTGTTTTCTCTGCCCCCCTGGGAGTACTCATGTGAGAGAGCCCAATCGCTGAGGAGAAAACGCCTGAAGTAGAGAAAACAGAAAGCACAGCAAAGCCAGCAGCGTTCGTAGTTGGTAGAGGGGTTGAATGTTAACTTTAGTGAAGGTGAGGAAAAGGTGACTTGTGACCGGCAGGCGTCCACGTGACACTCTGTAAAGCCACGTTAAAAAACATACTCGATTGTGAAACATGTACCTCGTCACACGCCCACAAACGTTGTTGTACGCCTCCCCGTGGGCTCAGAGAGAACGACCGCTCACTTGCCCGTTTGATTGTCAATACGTGACGGTGCCAGATCTCGAAGAGTCCGAGTCCTGGACGCCTGCGAACAAGCGCCGTGTTTGTGAATGCAGAGAAGGCACTGAGCGTCTCAAGTCTGTAGCAGGGCGAGCGACTGAGTGACTACTGTATAGGTCATCGGCACAGCTAGGGATCGAACACAAACACCCACATACTGAGCACACTTCACAGCTGTTTTACCTCTAAGATCATCGCTAGGCTATAAGACCTCTAAGGTTGTCCTTTGTCAAGATTTGTAGCGTCCACTTCTGCGGTTTCTTCAAGGTAACCCCCCCCCCTTCAGCTCCTGAGCCAAAAGTTCTCTGTTCAGCTCTTTATCCATCAAGTCCAGCAACGCTCCTCAGGAATAAAAAAGTCTTCCTTTCTCCGACCCCAACCTATTAAGCCTCGCTAACTGCGAGGGTGAAGGCGGCACATCTTGGCGGTAGGGACCCTTGGGCGAGGCCGGGTCCTTCAGGTGAGCCGTGGTGTACCCCTCGTAGCTGCTGTTGCCGCTGCTCTCCTGCATTAATTTCCCTTTGGCTTCCTGCTCACGGCGCCGCTGCTCCTGCCTCAGGAGCTCCTGGGCCTCCAGAAGGACCCTGGCGTTGACACTGCCGCCGCCTGGGTAGCCGTTCCTGGAGCCCTGGTAGCTAGAGTACCTGGGGTTGTCCTTGGCTGTCTGGAAACCTTCTCCAGGTGGGTACGCCTTCTCCCATGAGTCTTGGGAGATGGAGCTAGGGTTCTTCCTGGGTTGCCTGGTAGAGAGAGAGAGAGAGAGAGAGAAATGAAAGAGAGGGAAATGTGAGATGTGGTTGGATTTATAGTTTCATATAATTCCTTTGACATAATCATAAATGGCACATCAGTGCTTTATTTCAAAGTTGCTTTTGCTCTGTTTTGAGTTTTCTTTATTTACAGGCTTAAGACACAGTCAGGACAGGTTTCAGTTAGTCATGCCACATTTACAGTAGTTATTTTGAGAATACGTTAGATCAACATCTGGCTGTAGTAAGACGCTTTTTGTAGAAAGTGAGCGTGCCATTTTATTTTTTATTCTTCACCTTGGAATATTCTTTGATAAAAAAAAAAAAAAAATAAATAAATAAATCTAAACTCAAGGTGCATATACTAGCTTTTTTCCCCAGAGCTTTTACCAGCTTCTCACGGTCTTCTTTAGCAGACTTAGCAGGCTCAGTTATCATATATGCAGCAACCTCTGTGCGCTGAAGAAGACTTTGGGGTGGTTAAAAGCTCTGGAAAAATGTAGCAACTGGACCTTTAGTTGAGATTTCTTTTTATTTTTCTTATTTGTTTTGTTTGTTTTCTTTTATGTCTGATCTTTATATCTCCTGTATATACAGGTTGAAAGAAGGAAGTGTCAGTATTCCAGGTACTGATAGTGTAACAAAAAAAGAAAAAAGACATATGTTTTCATGGGTTTATGACTCTGATTTTTTTATTTCCATTTGGCATAAATATGTTTTGAGATTTGGCTCAACAGTTCCCAGCATGCTTTGCAAACAGACAGTTTAATGTTAATGTTGCCTCAGAGGTCGGTGAGTTAGCTGTGGGCTACTCCTGTTTTATTCACCTCCATTTATTTGCAACCAGGAAAGTCTTTCTGCATTAGCTCCCATCAGGTCTGTTAATAACTGTGATGATTGATTCATGAGGCTTTTTATGTGACCAATGTGTGACACTGAAAAGACAGGATTTCTGATATTATGGGTTAAAATAATCACATGTACTGTACGTGCCAACAAATGCTCTCTCATTCTTTCACTCTCATACACTTTATTTCTCTATGAGACTCAACCCTCTCAGCCACATTCTGTGACCTGGTCTGATGGGAAAAAACATCACCAGCAACAAAAATTTGGTTGAAAACTCTATCTTTTGGGGGATGCACTAATCAGACTGTCAGTTGCATGGTAGCCGAGACATCGCATTCAATGACAATAAGGCACCGCTACAGCCTCACAAACTGCCTCTGGGCAAGTACCAGCCCACGGTAACAACATACAGGGATACCTAACCATGTCAAAGTCCCCTTCCAGCCCATTAGGCCCATTTGGAGACAGGCAGGAACAACTATTGGATCTGACAGAAAGTAATAGCAGACCTTTCACGGCAGGAAAAATGAGGCGACCATCTTTGTCCTCGATGGATTTGCCCAGGCTGATATTTGACACCTGACACAAGTGTCTTAAAGGCACAGTTGTTTTGTCATGCTTGTTGGGTCTGCCCTGCCCTTTACCCGAAAAGATGTGGGGGGGGGGGGGGGATCCAGATGTGGGACATCACCTCTAATTTCTGCTTGGCTAGCCTCTTTGTGGCAGCCCTGTGTGTGTGTGTGTGTGTGTGTGTATGTGTGTTTGAGAGAGCCCATACGATATGCATGAGTGTCCCGAGCCCTACAGCTCCACCCGTTTATCTCGAGGGCAAGGCACCAAAACGAGAGCGGAGACAGAGAAGAAGAACAAGACACACAAAAACATCAATGGGCTTTTGACTCCGAGCCATGCATAATTAGCAGGTTTATCAGCCAGCTGTGAAGAAATCGTATTATTCCTGTGTTTGGATTTGAGGAGGAAGGGGCGAAAAAAAAAAAAAAATCCTTAATGAGAATAGAAAAGACCTTTGTTTTTATTCAACGGAGACTGAATGCTATTGGGAATGGATACGCTTCTCGATCGGTGAGATAGGAGAATATAGCCCAGGTTTATTCTTGCACACGGTTGAGTGATTCCAATTTTCAGAGACAGGCGTCCCCGGCATCTGATTTCATTTCATATGTTGACAAAGAGGCCAAAGCCGGTCTGCCTCCCTGCTGAGAAATGCAAACCAGATCGCTCTCTCTCTCTGTCTGATACTGTGCCAAGGGGGAGCATGTACATGTGTGGTAAATACAGAGAGATGTATACCGCTCTGTATTCTGTGCATGCACACGGTGAAGCATGACACATGATACAAACAAAAAAAAACAAACAAAAAAAAACAAAAAACAAGAAGGTGGGAAAGGTGACAGAGAAAGATTGAGAGAAAAAAGGGAGACTTTGTGAGAGGTTGTAGTGCAGTGCAGATAGACATGGGGTTGTGACACACATGCATGCATGCAGAAACACACTAGTACGACCAAATGCCACTGCAGCTGTTGCAGACAGCCTTCGGTCTCCCATAATGGCATTACTTTGGCACGGAGATCAATGGTGCTGCTCGGTGATGAATATGAGGGCCCTTCATCCACCGTCATTGTTTCAAATGGCAGCGGTTTATTTTCACTCACGGCTCCTTGTTTAGGGAAGGGTCTCACCCAGAAGGAAACTGACCTTTATCTAAAATGAAAGCCGTTTTTTTTTTTTTGAGGAGCTCTACCGCCATTAATCACGTCTTCATTCACAATCCAGAGTCATGCTCTCATGAAGGATTTCACCCAGTGTGAGCAACGCAGGCCCCATACGAATCCCATCAAGGCTATGATCTCCTGAACGCCACGTTTACTCGGTCTCAGCCTCTGACTTCATACGATGCTATGCTCTAACTCAAACAATAGTTAGCGTTCTCGAGATACCACCGCCGGGTTTATCCAAACAGAACAGCTTCTTAATGGAATTAGTGGGAAAGTGAAGGGACGTGGCCACAGGATGTTGCCTCTGACCGCTGGAGCGAGACAGCAGTTCATTAATCTTTCAGCACAGCTGCCTGCAATATTTATCAAGGAAAGGATTTATGTCGATAGCAGTGGATTAGAGAACGACGGTGAAGCAATAGAAGATAATGTATTTAATGTTGTATATGTATGGGAAGTGCTAGTTGATGATGTATTCTGGGATGGGTCGGCTTGGTTTGGCCTTGTAGAGAGTCTGCAGGAGTAATTAGAGACTGCTTAGGGAGACGTATTAATAACTCTTGGACACTTCATGTCTGTGCTTATTCAAGAAATTAAAAAAAAGTCTTCTTTAAAAGGTACAAAGCAGTATGTTATTATGTGTTATATGTGTTATTGTGTTATTATAAGTGATAACTCATTTTTATTGACATTTTTTGAATGAAGGCTCTACAGATGTCTGTCTAGTTTACATACATTTTTGTACAGTACTAAAATCTATTGGTAGGCTCTTGAAACTTACCACAGATTAACATTGTTACTTTATTGTCGCATGATACTAATGTTTTGTTGCAGATTGAGCTCAAAGGCTGTACTGTGTTACCTCACAATGATAACTTTGTATTAGGCAACACTTGACCTTAAGGCCCCTTATTTGACATGTATTAGCAGGATATAAACATTTAATAAATGGTTTATAGTACACTATAATGTCGTGAGCTGATGTAATTGTTTATTAATGCATGTGTTAACAACTCCGCCTGTGGGTGCCCGAGTGGAAGCTGGTGTATAGATAGATATACTTTCTATACCTTCCACCTCTAACCATGCACACACACACACACACACACACACACACACACACACACACACACACGCCTCAGCACTTCCTGGAACAACAGGCAGTCATATCATGCAGATCAAAGGGAATTACATTAAGGGAAAGGAAAGCAATCATGTCACATCTGTGTGAGAGGGTAACATGATCTGTCCATTCTGAGGATGATGAGTGTGTATGTGTGTGTGTGTGTGTGTGTGTGTGTGTGTGTGTGTGTGTGTGTTTGTGTACGCAGTTCTGTGGTCTGAAAATGATCGGCTATGCTGCTTTTTCTTACTTAAATGTTATATATATATATATATATAATCTGCTATCATTACTGTCACGAGGCTATTACAGTGAATCTGGCATAATAAGGCAGGAGTGCACAAATGTACACACACACGCAGCCACACACACACACACACACAAATCAACTTCAACTCAACAGATCTAAAATTGATACAAACAAAGTCACAAACACCTGCACACATTGATATTAGATAGTACACAAGAAAATTCAACACACACACACACACACACACACACACACACACACACACACAGTGCCCCAGACAGACTCACACACACAATCTCTTAGCACATATTGATTGTCAGATAGGCAGAAACATAGATCAAATACAACATCATATCAAGCCTGACACACACACAAACACACACACACACACTCTCTCTCTCTCTCTCTCTCTGTCCATCACTCTTACCTTGGTAGGGAGCTGTACTGTCGCTGTGCCTGGGCGAACGAGTCCCTCTCCTCCTGCCTCTGTCTCTGCATCTGAACCTCGACCGACACCGAGTGGCGACCCGGCTGACTGTACCCGCCCGGACCGTTGCTGCTGGTGTTTGACTGGAAACAGCGAGATGGCTCGGTTAGCTGTCGTCCCCAGTGAGATCATCATCATCATCATCAGCAGCAGAAACACTGGCACAATCAATACGGGAATGATTCTACCCATTCAATTTATTTATTTATCTGCCTTCTATAATTTGATGATATTCCACACGGGACTGAAATACTGTCAGATAAGTGGAAATGTGCACTGGGTGGACAGATATGACATAGTGTGTTTACAGGATTCAATACTACTAAATTAATCGGTGCAGGATATTCCTCTTCTGCAAATGTGTCACATGTAATGAGGGGAATTTCTTCTTCTATGGTCCATTTAGGGATGGAATACTATCACCTATAAGTGGATCATAGTTATTTAGTGAACTATTCCACTGATTTGGACCACCTTCATGATATCAATATTAGTATATTAGTAGTAGTGTGTTGGTCTTCTATCTAAATCCATTCTTAAAGGGCCGGAAGGATAATCCTGTGTGTGGTTTTCACTGCTCCACAAAGAAAACTCCCCTCACCTCCATTGTGCTGGAGCGGCAGCAGAAATTTCACCCATATCTTTTAACTATCTGCATGGATAGATACCACCAGAGGCAAGTGGAAAAGTGTAATTTTGTTTTTTCGTCATATGGGTGAACCAACCCTATAAAGCTGCAGAGCTGCCTGCCTTATCTTGGCTCCGAGGGGAACAGAACCGTCTGAAGCTACAGTACGAGAAACGTCGTGGTGACAGTTATTTTGTGCCGATCAGAGAGCTGCTTGTTCTCGTGTACAGCTGATATGACTCTGGGACTGCAGGGACTTTATACACTCACGGAGTTAAATAAATACTGATGACTTTTCTGTGTTCACTTAAACATTCATGACGCTGAGTTGCCTGCAGTGCTATTGCAAGATAGATGCATGACTGGGAGGATTTGGAGGTGCTAACACTGAAATCAGCAGTTTTATGTGAATTCAAGTCAATCACTCTCTTTTATGTTATATCTCCTCCACTTTTCAAACATTCAATTTACTCTCTATTATATTCTGCACTTCATAATAACATTAATAATCTCTTATTATCATCAAGAATAAAACTTTAAATGCCACATACCATCAAACAAACCTTAACGTGTCATTGATAAAACATGTTGATAATTAAAAATAAAGATTAAATTCCAGTTGTGGTGATTTTCATCCTGGGTTTTTGCTCAAATTGAAGGAACTGTGCCATAAAAATATGTACGTTCGTCTAACTCAAAAACATAAGCGGCAATACATTCAAATGTCTTGTTTAATCAAGCTCAAATATTCGAATTAGGAATATGTTTGGCAAAAATTACTTTTAATTAAAAGGTTTTATCACTGCTTAGACAAATGAACATCTTATACTGGAAAATTCTGGATTTGAATGTTATGATTTGGATGTTCTCTGGCAGGAAGGGCACAGATTTGACCCACTGCCAAAATATGATCTTTCCAAAGTGATAAAGAAGAAACATCACATTTAAATTCGAATTTAGAGCATGAAAATCACCATTACAGAGATTTGCACACAGTAGCCCAATAAAACTGGCAGCGTTCCCGGACACAGGATACCTCACAAAAAGTCTCCCACAGCCCCCCCCACCCTGCCACCCCCACCCGCCAGTCCAGACCACAGACACTTACCAGCAGTTAGTCGGGCAGACACACCCTGAGCTCGTCTCCTCTCAGGTCAAAATGAAGGTGAGTCACACACAGACAGAAGGAGGGGAAGTGAGGGAGGGGCCATGCTGGAGACTCAGAGCAGGGTTACAGTGATGACATGTGATGGATGTTAGTGGGTGTTAATGAAGGAGACAACAACACGGCCTGTTGACATTGTGACAGTCCCTCTCCCCACCCTTCAAACATCCTTACATAAACACCTAGTGTACAGGTTAACAGGCCACAGTAGGTTTACGTCCATGTGCATATAGAGTAGACAAACTGTGTGTGATGTATTGATCTGTAGTATCTGCAGATTTAGAATGTTTTTATAACAGAGAATACAACCGAATAATTCATTAGAATTCATCATAAACTCTCACACATACACACAAACTCTCTCTCTAACACACACACACGCTCACTCACTCACTCACACACACACTCACTCACTCACACACACACACTCACTTACTCATTCACTCACACGCACATGCACACACACACACACTCACTCACTCACACACACACTCACTCATTCACTCACACGCACATGCACGCGCGCGCGCACACACACACACACTCACTCACTCACTCATTCACTCACACGCACATGCACGCACACACACACACATGTTTGTACTTCTACACTTATGAGAACCCCCACTGACATAATGCAACCCATAAATCCTTTAATACAGAAACAAACTTGTCTGCACATTGAGTTGTTGAACCATCAGGCAAAAAAACTGTTTATACCTCTATGTCCTGGGTCATCGTAGTGTGCTGTGGTGGTTTGGGAAAAGTTTCAAAAATAATTGGATGCTTCCCCCACAATTCAACAGTTGGAAAGTTGTGAGACAAGACAAGTTGTCCTCACTATTAAGGTCTAAAACTGGTCCTCACACAGATGCAGGAGTATACACATGTGCGCACACACACAAACACACACCCTTGTTTTACCATATTTGTGGTGAGCTGTCATTGAGATAATGTAGTCCCTAACCCCTTTCCTTTAACCATCACAACTGAAATCCTAACCCCAACCCTAATTCTAATCTGAACCTTTAAAACCAAGTCTTGACTCTCAAACAGCCAATTAAACTTGTAGGGTCCAGCATTTTGGCCCCACCCTGCCCAAAGCTGACGGACGACTCGAACCCAAGAAAAGGGGGCTCCCAGTTTTTGGACCACAAAAATATAGTAAAACAAGCCCACACACTCATACATACAGACAGACAGCATACACTAATAATATCTTTCTCAGCAGCAGAGCACCACCTCAATGTCCAGCCCACACTTGTACCACAGCTCCTTCCGCTCCCTGCGATGTTGATTAGCGGTGTGGGTGCAATAATTGTGTGCAGCCGTAACACAAAGCCGATCTAATTACTTTTATGGCTGTGCAACATATTGAGAGCCTGGTTGGAGCACTGTGGACATCAGTTGGTGGGGAAACCATAAAACGATTAAGAGTGCTAAAGAGACACTCCCCTTTAAAATCAAATAACGCCGAGGCAATCATCTCTGGGATGGATTGGCGCTGCCTGGCTGCTCAGCTGACAATAAGGACAGGCTGGCAGAAAACTGAGAGGGAGGGAGGGGGCTACCAAGCACCCCTTATTCCATATCTGAATTAAAAATTGCCTGTGGGTGAATTACAGTCCCAAATATTTTTCACTTGAGAAAAAAAAAAAAAAATCCCTTTAGCGGTTTAGGAGTGTTGAATATTCCTGGGATTGTTGGCTCATCTGCCTGAACACGGTGACTGCAGAGGAGAGGGGAGGGCGAAACACCCTAAAGGAATCCAGATAATAGCAGTATTAAAATGTTGCAGTAAAATACAAGAGGCAATATTATGCCCTTTCTAAACCCCCAGCATCAATTGAATGAACTCCTCTATTCCCATAGTGGTATAAATGAGCGCAATAAAGCTTGGCGCGGCGCTGCTGGGAGAGCGGGCATCAGTCATCCTGATGGAATTAGACCGTGCTACCCACAATCCTCCCCTGCTCCCCAAACTATGGTAAAAAAAGAAGAAGAGGGGGGGGGCTCACATGGCAAAGAGAGATATTATATTGACTTAAGGCATGTGGCTAAATAGGGACGGCTAAGAAAACAGCCTGAGCAGAGAATGGATAATCGGGCGAATGAACCGCAGAGGATGGATCGTGAACGTGTGTTTGGCTGGAGGTGCGATATGAAGAGGTGAGCCTGGGGTTGACTGTCCAGGCCTGGCTCAAAGGTGCACAACAACACAGTGAGTGCTTCCATATGGCTGCTCAGAGACACCTCTCTAATCGGTGAGGCATGACACTAACAGGGATCTGCATTCAAATCCCGCTGTACGAGCAAGAGAGACCTCTGAACGGATAGTGAACGGAGATGAATATTTCTTGATCTCTTTGGTTTTTTATTTTTTATTTTTTAGATTAACTGATGAAATGTTGGCTTATATTTTTCTCTGTAAACCTAATTAGGATGAACACATTAATTCATTACATTATTCTAATATGCTTTAATATGTTTTCCCTGCCATTTAAATAAATAACATAGGACTGCCGTGTAGCACCGTCCTGGCACAGACTGTAAGTGGGTCAGCTGTAGGTGAATGAAGAAGAAAATAAAAAAGGACACTGGCTCCTTGAGGTTTGCAGCACATCACTCAGATGAGGCAACAAAATGTAATATATGCAAAGGGGAGGTAATTGAATTTCAAAGACACATTCTCCTGTTTTCCATATGGCCCACCAGTATGGTCAGAGCACGAGTCTAATAACATGCTATTACGACAGCAAGTCCAAGTGTGAGCTGCGCTCCGACAAGGTAAAAGGGGGTTTAATAAGACCATGAGAGGGTTCTTCAGGCTTAAGCCACTGTGGAACCACAAGGGGGTCCTGGAAGAACCTGGTTACAAAAAGGTATTTTTTCTAACATTTAATGTTTCTGACAAATGAATCTTTAATATTTCCTGGACTCTGACTCTAAAACGTTTATGGACGTATCTAACAGCTACTTTGAGCAAGTTAAAGGGATCTTTCATGGGAAAATGAACCTGGCAACAATAGTAAAGCACGCTACAGTTGATGTAAACAGACACAATGCTGCAGTATTGTCAATCCCTCTAACTGAGAGCACGCTTGGTTGTTTGGAGACAAAAGGGAGAGGTGACCTGCGCTCCTCTTTCCCACACTGTCCTGCTTTTTTTTTCTTGTCTGTACAATGCCGCCTGGAATGCGCGCCAGTGCGTCGATCCCACTGAAACGCACGACTCCGGTTAACACTGCCCGACTTGGAACAAAACTATACATTTTTTATTGGGTTCATCAGGTAGAGAGAAAAAGCCAGAGCACAGAGGATTTTGGTTCGCGAGCTCTCACTTTATCATTTCATTTCAATTACAAATGGTAGCAACTAACTCTCCCATTGTACACCAAAGACTGGGCAAAAAAAAAAAGCTACAGCGGGAAATTTACCAGCAGTAAAAAGAGTTCATACAGAAATATACAAAAACACAACTGTGTGTGTAAAAATGACTTTGCGTCAGGACACAACCAACAAGGACAATTCATATTACTTGATATAAAAGGATGTAATTTACAACACACCTGTGCGTCTAGTTTGCGACAACATGCTTTTGTGCTGCTTGTCACCATAGCATAATAATATGTATCGTGTGGTAATGTGTTTGTATAATAACAAGTTGTGATACAATATGTGTGAAATAAAACAAAAAATGTGTGCTGTCTCAAAGCAGACAGAAGGATGTGGTGTAAATTACTCCTTTAGTGTGTAAAAAAAAAAAAAGGGATAAAATCCTATCTTCAAGATTTAAAATCTGCTACATGATCAGAATTTGTTACTCAAAATAATGTAAAACCAAGTACACTTGAGGTGAAGTGCAAGGAAGCTCGGAGGACTAAAATAAATACTAAAAATATGACAAGCGATTTCATCACCTCAAAAAACTTTGAGTGCATTCAGATTTTGTTCGCTTATTATTCTTACCCCCGTGTTGCTTCAGAATGCACTAATTAACCCTGATCTTAGCCGGTGAAGCTCTGAATTAAATATATGTCAGTTAAAATGCACATTACCCTATTTTTAACCTGTAAAAAAGGCACAGTTAAAACAAAGGTTTTAAAAATGAGACCCCCCCCCCCCTACACAGACACAATGTGAAGACAAACCCAAGTCCATGAGGTGGTGGGCAGGGTCCATGTGGATGACTGACAGACAAACGACGGATGAGTACAGTAGGTTGTGACAGGTGGGTGGGGTTAGTGGTGGTTGTATCAGGAGGTGCGGAGACTCCTGCATGCAGATGGTTGAACATTCGAGTGTGAGGTGTGTTAGCGGTAGCATTATTAGGCTCATGGAGGTTAAGGGTCACCGTAAGGTGGAGACAGGATATTATCATCAGTCCTGTAGTGGGGGTTAGTGATGGTTAGCACCACACTCCGGTTAGCCACAGGTTCTCCTCAGGCTAGTGTTTGAAGTCAAGTTTGAAGATGTCCAGAGTCTCGGTCTGGCAGAGGTCGTCTCTCGACATTAACAGTCTTACAGTCTAGCCATCCTCTCCGGGTCGGCAGTGGATTTGAGTTACAGGCTCCGGTCATTTCAGACACTCACCCAGGGCTGCTCGAAGCTGTAGGTCCTCCTGCGGTCGTCGGGGTCGTCCGGGACGGTCTGGGCCTGCTGGAACTCCTGCCTCAGCCTCTGTATCCGGTCGTGGTTGCTAGGGGTTAGCCGGTTACTGAGGAGGAGAGGGGAGAGAGAGAGAAAAGAGAGAGAAAAGAGAGAGAGAGAGAGGGGGAAGATGGATGAGCGTGAGAGGTCCATTGTGAACGAGTGACCTGGTTCCATCAGCGCGGGCGGAAATGGCCTGCAGGATAAAGTTCTTTAAAGACCAACGTGCTTTGTCCGTGAATTGATCAAATGCACTGTTGACAAAGGCAAAGCAACCCAGATACATTCAACCCAGATAAGACGTAAAACGTGATAAGTGAGGGCAGAGCCAGGAGCGGGCTCACAGCAGAGCCAACAGCAATATGAATCAAACTAATGTGTCTCTGATGTATTATTCATAACAATGAACAAAGACTAGTGGTGAACGGTGAGCAGTACCACAACCCCACCCACCCACCACCTCCTCCTCCTCCTCCTCCCAGCCTCATATCATTTAACTGCTGCACTGCTATTGTCTGTTGCAGCCCTGCGGTGTTTACATCAAACAATGCTGCCTTCAGTGTACACTCATATGGTGCACTGAACAAATGTTCTGTAGCTGGTCACTCGCTATAACTGCCGCTACAACTCTCCCCATTACTGTAGATGTTGTGGAGTCTATTCAGGCCATGGACATGACTGGTTGTCAACAGTTGTCAATATGTCACACAGATGAAGCCTGATACATTTGAGGTACCTGAAAATTAAAGAGATTTCGATTTGGAAATTCTTACTCACTTGCACACCCAACATTGTTCATAATTCACTTGAATGGGAAAATGGTCTTTTTTGGACTACATATATATATATATATATATACATACATACACACGCATTACCTGTTGTACTTCCAACTATGCAGTCATATATAACATCTATTATCGCTTCCTCTAGTCTATTGTCTCAGATTTGATTGTTGAGGTATTTTTGGGTTTGACTGAAGCTGAACAGAACCTGGACCACATCAAATATTTTCCCTGTTGACAACCATCTGGTTTTAGTATAGGTTTGTGTTATTTGCATATTTCTTCTGCAGCTTTGAGGTGCTTCAGCTATTGTCTGAGCCCTTGCATGGAAAGAAATACCGAACATACATGTAAATGAGGAGACAGGTTAGTGTTTTTATATGGCCTCCTACAGAGGAAAGTAATTAACACATTTTCCCTCTCAAACTGTGTGTGAATAGCAGTGTCAGGGTCGGTGAATGAAGGACCAGCGGGGGGGGGGGGGGGGGGGGGGTTGACTCCGAGCTTGACTTTTCAACTTTTCTAACTTTGCCAGGAAATTCCTTGGGACTGTCTTATCTCTAAAACTCTAAAAAAGGTCAAACCTGCAACTCTTTCCAGTCCCAAAGCTCCGTTGAGTTCAGTTTTGCGAACCTTTTTCTGCTTACTTAGGAAAACTTTGAGGTCAGCATGAAATTCTGAATTGTATCTGTTGAGGGATACGATTGAAATGCTGAGACAACAAAAAAAGACAGTTCTACGAAAAAAATAATAAATTAAAAATCCGGAGAAAAATAAATGAATCACATCCGTATTGCCTTGGTTATGACAGGAACTGTACACTTAAAAGTGACTTTAAATAACCATTTATCTTTATGAGGTCAGACTATAACTCTATCTAACACAAAACTGCTGCAATAACTGCCTAAATTCATTGAATCCGTCACAAAACAACCAGATAACGGCCCCATAATTCTATAACCTAAAACACAGCAGCACTACCAGCTACTAACTCCAGACACACAATGGAAAAGCCAGGTCCAGCTGGCCTTATTAAAGACCAGGAACCTGTCATACGTGATCCTGCTAATCTCCGTGATATGTAACACAGCCACTTGGCCTCTTTAGAACACAGCTGACCCGATACGTGGAACATGTGTGACCCTCTGGCTATAGGTCGAGGCCTCGGCTTCAACGGAAAGGCTCATATGTGATAGTGGGTAACGTGAAAAACAGATTTCTGTAGAAGAGGAAGAACAAAAACGGGGGGGGGGGGGTTTGCCCACATTGTGAACAAGCAAGGCTTGTCAGATGAAAGACGCTCCCCTCTCTTGAGATAGCCACTCAACCCTGTAATCAAAAAGTATATCATTATTAAGGCAACCTATAGCCCCAGCTAATACAGCAGAATCCTGCCTGAGAGACTGAAGAGAAACTCAAATAAAGAATCAAACATCTCCAATCCTCTAGTCTGACAAAACAGTGTAAATCAATCAAAGAAAGAGCAACACTACAATACAACTGTACTGTCAAAAAAAACAAACAAAACAAACAAAAAAAAACCAACCCCAGAGACAGGGGAAAAACAGCGGGCCGAGAGTCTGAGATGAGCTTCATCCTCTGGGCAGGCTCACTCAATATCTGGCACTGGTGTGTGAGGCTGAAAGGTCACAGTGTGGCTTTGTTGAGTGGAGTGTCTCTGGGAGTCAATAACAGGACTGTGGCTTGCTGACTGGGCTGCCAGAAAAGCTGTTTACGCTGAGATGCACCCTGCCTTTCATGGTCGGGCGTGCCTCCTAAAAAGCTGTCTGTCTGTCTGTCTGTCTGTCTGTCTTGTCTTGTCTTGGGAGGGAGAGATGTAATGTCTGCATTGTGGGCAGACTTTGACTTCACAAGTGCAGCTTCACTATGCTGTAAAGCGGCGTGGTGAAACACAGGTTACTGCTAGAAAATAGGACTGAAACACGCAAAGGAAAATTCGAGTTGGGTCTTATTTTTGACCCTCGGCTAAAATTAGAAACAGGAAGTCTGTTCATAAACTGTGACTGATGCGTATAACAGACAGTCTGGGGAATGGTTGTATCAGTGACCTGTTTTCTCTGTAAAAAAAAAAAAAACAAACAAACATTTGACCAACCTTGGAGGGTTGTTTACAACGTGTGATCATCTGATCTTTTTGTCACCACGATCCGAGATGTGAGCTATTAAAATTGGTGAAAACAATGTCACTAATACTGATAAGACTGATGACCACAACTACAAATCCAAGACCTGGGGGCTGTAATAAACAGGAATTATCCTTTAAGCCTGGAAAGGAAGGTGCTTTGCAGGATTTGAGAAGTCTGCCTTGTGGTCAGACTTCGATCTCAGAACCACAAAGCCACAATATGTTCTCAAGCTGCATGCTAAAACACAGGGATTTAAAAAAAAAGAAAAGAAAAAAGAGCTAAGCGTTGAGAGAAAGATCGAAGCAATTAAAGACAGCCAGAGGAAGGCGTTGCTTCATTTGGCATAGCAGAGGAAGTGGTCCAAATTGGACCTAACTCCAGACTAACAGGATTTATCAGATCTGCGCTGTCACTTCAAAAATCCCCCGTGACAGTGATGCTGCTTCCACGGATCCCAATCAAAGCATGCCAACAGATTGAGGGAAGGGCCTCTAAAGGGCAATGTACAGTAAGTGACAGAGGCAGCTGATGGACAGAGCTCTAATCCTGTGGATTATAAATGAATGGCTTCATTCACACTGGCTGCTCTTCCCATGCCTGTAGGAGCATCACTCAGACCTACCACCAACTGTACGTGGGCATAAATCTAACAAGCGCTCGCTCATTTAGAGGACTTGGCGACCTTTACCGGTTCAACGTGCCCTTGAAATTAATGCAAAGCTGAGGGGAGACCACACAGTTTTGGGCAGTAAAGAAGAAGGAAACAGCTGGAGACGACCCCGCTGACCACCAGCTGGCCCACAAAGCCCATCTGAGCAGTGCGGAGGGCAAAGAGAGATTTGAGTGAACCTCGTTGTCTGTTTTGTGACGAGGGCCCTTGTGGCTAGTGGTTACAAGCGCGTTGACCTTGAGGATAACAAGAGCAACATTGTTTGTTGAAAGTCTCAGAAGAAAGCATCACCCCAAGCTGCATGCGGCGCTGATGCGAGAAAAAAAAAAAAACTTCACAGAACACATTTCAGTGTTTCTTTATTCTCATCAGAGTCTATTTCATCTCTTTAAATTAAAGGGCATCTCCGCCATGATGCTAATTAACAGAACCACACCTTGCTCTTGATAATACAAGAGTTGTATTCTGTGATATCCTATCTATTTCGTTTGCCAATAATCCTTAAATCATAATGATCAACTTTTTAATTAAAAACCTACTGTCTTAATTAAACATTTAATTAAGCACGGGTAGTCATGGGACTCCCATCTCAAATGTGACTGTTGTGCTGACTAACTTGCCTGCCTGTTAAATAAACATTTACTGATGTACCGATACACAGAGTAAGGAACCGGTGTCGTGTTGTCCCCCCCCCCCCCCCGGACGCAACAGCCGTGGCGGTTAGTTTCTGTAATCTTATCAGATGGGGGAACTAGGCCCCTACATCCTCTGACAAAGAGAGAGCAGCTGGTGGAGCCTTTCTCTGCTGTGAAAAATGAACTGAGATGCTGAGGATGATAATCCAGGTCTATTGATCGAAGGATCACAGACAGCTAGGAGGGAGACTGATGCCCTTGCTAACTTGTGCTAGCGGCTAACGCTCCATCTGTGAGGCAGAGTCGCTGTTATCTACTGCAGCGAAACCGCAAAGATGGCAGCGCTTCCTCGAGCAATCACACACTTACACAGATCTGGAATAGATGTTGATGCTACTTGTTGGTAATGGATGAATATTATGAAGATCTTTACTTTAATATATTTTAATTATAATGATTAATTTACATTTTTAGTATATAATACACAGTATCGTCCATGACATCCAGCACTAATATATAAAGAAAGAGGGTCTGTTGATGTATAGTACAAACCTAAATTGCCAACATGTCTCATCATGAATAGCAGTGCAGAACTTTACGTGAAGCAGAATTTATCCAGAAATCTGTGTGTAAAGTTATGGTCACATACACAACTTTATTATTATTATTATAAAAGACTCTGCTTATGTTTGAGGAAGTGAGACTTTTTTTGTGGCCGATTTTATTTGCACATCTTCAGCAAAGAGGCAAAATTTATAGTTTGCCATTTAATGTTTTATATAACAAGTTGTGTTCTTGTCTGAGAAGTGTTGCTCCACCACGGCAAATGT